GGTGGTAGTTGTAGTAGTGGTAGTAGGAGAAGGAGTAGCAACTGCCAACCCACCAGATCCCTGACAAGCACAAAGCCAAGAGCGCCGCCAGACTTTTTACACCGTCAACGAGACTCTTGGCTCCGAGGCCGTTCGCAAGGGTTTAACAGTGCTCGCTTCCATGGGCCTGCAAGAAGCGCACGGAACCTTTGCCTGGCAGAGGCCGGCACCTCGCGAAGCTGTGTGTGCGGCACTTGGTTCTTCAGAGCTCGAATCTGCGTACGGGTATCCTGTTGCGTAGCGTGTTTGGTGTGCTGGGGTTTTTCAACGTCAAGATACAGGAGCCTGTAGCATCTCCGGTTGACGGCAGCAACAGCCCAGGGGTGCCACGCTACGATGTGCATCTATTCATCACAGCATGCTCAAAATGCTACCATTGCAGCGATGACAGAAGTTCCGCCCGCCTTGGCAGTGTCAACTCAGGATGATCTGAGCGGACACCCCCATAGCTCAGCTGTTTCATGACTGGCACGGGCAAAGGTCCAGGGCAGCACTATGCAGCTCAGAGTACAGGGGCAGATCGAGGAGGCCAGGGACCGATTACACATGACGATCTACCGTGGATCAGCACACACCAGCATGTTTTGTCAGCTCGAAATAGAAGCTGCGAGGATACTAGGCCCAGGCAAAAGAAAATGTTCAGAGTATGCCAAAGAAGGCACGCTCCGGCAACCTGTGCAGGCCGGCTTCCGATGATACCCGAGGCGCATGACTGTGGCTTCTGCCAGCGAGCCTGAGATGACATGGCATATGGAACTCATCGCCCCCCTAAGCCAGGAGACGCTTACTTATCCGAGTCGGATGGAAGCGACGGCGAGTACAATGATTCCCTCTCGCCTGTGCACACTTTGCATTCAACAAGTTCTGCTGCATCGGCAGCTCGCTTGCATCAATATCGAGCACGTTTGCTAAACTCCAAGCTTAAAACCTTAAACCGTCTCAAAGCTTAAGCCCGTCAAGGATGCGAGCACACGGTCATCGGCCAGACATTCCCATCGTCGGCTGAAGTTGGTCGAGACAATGGGCCCCTCGGAACATGAGCAAGGTTTTGTTTGATCCCAGTCGCCGCCAAACAACGCTTAGGACCCAATTAGGATAAGGATGCTGCTGACGAAGCCGATCCTCAGGTCATATTCCTTCGGCGGCGCTGCAGCTGCTTGCCTGAAATCCTGTCCAAGCAGAGACCTGTAGCTGCTTCGTTGCTTCGTGCAACTTGCATTGGTAAGTGATGACCCATGGCCATGGCGAAGAGGAAGAGAAAGGTGTTGCGGCCTAAGCAAGGGTCCTAAAGAGAATTCATGACACGTCCGAGATGCCGCCAAGGCTTGTAATCAACAATTCGAGCCGCTTGGATGCCTGTCCAGATGCAGCGACAGCAGTGCATGTTTTGATGCGTCTGACTCGGAAATGATAGAGCGCAGAGCCGCGGCACTACGAAAGGTGTGGTGCGGCCAGACCGACCACAAGATGTTTTGCCCAGTGTCCGCTAGCAGGAAGACCCAAACAGCTTTGATGGATTTTCATCGAACCGTGATTTGATATCCCTGCAGTATCACTGTAAAGCGTGCAGTCAGATTCTCCCACGTGTTCGCATCAGTGAGTGTTTTTGAGAACCTGTTCACAACTGCAAGGTCCTCTGGAAGACATCTACAAGATGGCATCTTACTTCAAATGGTTCAACCGGTCTTTGGAAATTCCTTCAAGGTTCTTTCTTACGAAGATCCCACTAGAACGAGTGCCCCAAAAGAGAGGTTCCTAAGCCTTCACTTCAGGACAAGGACCTCGGCAAGGGAGCCTTCGGCATTGTCAGACTCGGTCGGGTGCGCATCACAGGCATGGCATGTCAGGGGTTCACCGATGTCTAGACAATGTAGCGTAGTTCAGCTACCGGATTCCTGGAAGTTCGTGCCTTCGACAGAAAATGAAGGTGTAGGATGTGTTGGACGTCAGCGACGAACGCCCACGCTTGATTAGCTACCTGCAGGTGCCAAGCGGGCAATCAAGACTATAAGCAAAGAGCAAATGCATCTTGGCTTGAAGAGTCTTGTGCCACTGCCATGCAAGCTGGCTAAATCAATGGTGTGTTGCATTTGTCAGGAAGGAGCAAACGGGCTCGCTCAAAATGGAAATTGAGATCATGAAGATGCTTGACCATCCAGGCAGGACTCCACGAGTCGATGCAAGATAAACTTCCACAAGAAATGGTTGAGTCAATACTAGGTAGGTGACCTGTTGTAAAGTATCAGGCATGCGCCAGTTTTCCGCTCTTGTTTCAATGCTCTCCGGTGGTAGGGACCAGCAGCACCGAATTCAGCAATATGTGTTGTCGTTCCATCTCGTTGCAGAAGACTGCAGGTGTCGTCATGCTGTTCGAGCCACTCGACGACCTTGCTGCAAAACGGTGTAGTCGTCGCATGTACAAGAATGAAGCACGTAGGTGAAATAACTCAGGATCTTCGAGGATGACGATGTTCACCTCTCCATGGAGCTGTGCAGTGGGGGGTGTCTCACAGACCGTGTCAAAACTGTGCTCCGGCAAAAAGTAGAGGTGGCTTTGGGAAAGGTTCCTCGTCGCCCTATGTGCAGGCTAGGAAGCGTGCGACGTCCACGCCTACGTCGGAAGAGGGATGTTTTGCTGAGGCGCCGAAGGGACAGCTGCCACAAAGAGAGCTGCCTTTGGCCATGCGATGCTTTGATGCAGTAATATGCTTATGTTTCCCCTGAAGACAACCGGGTGTTGATTCAGCCACGAAGCTGTGATGTAGGTGCCCGTTTATTCAGCGTCGCTGTGAGTGAGCACCTGATGTTTTGAGGTCAGATCCTTGCGGCTGTGAATTACTTACACGAGCGACTCTTCAGCATTTTCGTGGACAAACACAAACTTGTTCTGACAGACAGAAAGAAGCTCAGCAATACTGCTTGCTGAAGTCATGTTTTCTGGTTCTCAAGCACAAGGGCTGCTACCTCGGTCAAATAAGGCTGAGCATTGTCCACCGAGACCTGAAAGCCGCACTTCGGCTGCACCACCCCACTTGGGCGTAGACCCTGGACCTCTTCCACCGCAGGAGTCGTCGTAGTCAGACTCGTAATGGGTAAGACGCTCTTGCAGGCGATAAGGGTGAGAGACAGAGAGAGAAGCCGGTGCCCAGGAAAGTTGGACTAGGAATCTGGAAGGAGAGGCATCCAAGATACGGTCAGCCAGCCTGACGTATGCTGCGCGCGTGCGAGCGGGGGTCTCCCCTCAAAGTTATAAGAGCCCGCAAGAAGAAGTGTCGATGTTACCGCTTTCCACATCGCGGATCTAAGGACAACATCCTCTTGAAGGTGGCACCAACTGAGGTCTTACGCAGGACTTCCAGACTAGCCTGGGTCTTTGCCGAAGGGCTAGCCTATCAACTTATCCAAGCCCATCCTGGGATTTTCAAGCGAAGCTAGAAGCTTGCAGTGCTTCGGGTTGCGTCCCCGCCTGCCTTGTCTTGGCTTGTGTCTTTGTTGGCACCCATACATCTGTATACATATATGTGTAGTCCCGTTCATAGAACTGGTCAGATTTTGTCATCACTCGTAGTCAGTCTTGTCGCCCAAAGGTCAGATCCATGCTTGTTCAGCTTTCGTCGGGGCCAATCCCAAAACCTGGGCCATGCCACGGCCAGGCAGCCCCAAGAAGGCTCAAAACAAGACCTGAAGATGTTGGAGAAAGGCATATGGTTGAAATGCACACGACCCCTGAACCTCAACACTGTTTGGTAGCAGGACGTCCCTCAAAGTCTCTGACTTTGGCCTGTCGCGAATCGTGGAGGACGTGCCCCTGGGTTTACAGCAGGTGGTTCCACTGTTTGGAGTGGTCGCGGGAAGAAGTGTAGGAGTGAGCTGTCGCAGTAGTACTAGCAGTTTGAGATGCAACGACACTTGAAAAAGCCGATCAACAAGTAGAATGTCCATGTCGGCCTTACCAGCCCCTACTTGTGAGTGCAGGAGGGCGAGTACCTTTCGAGCATGGGAGGCCCGTGCTGCCAGGGCTTCGGGTGCTGGGGTTGTGCCCGAAGGTTGAAGCTGTATCGGCTTGGCAACAGGAGTTCCTCTTAGAATGTCATACTGTGAAGTTTCATGAATGAGCTGATCCCCAATCCAATGTCCTCCCCAAGGAACTCATGCTTTCGCGGCTCAGTATGCGTGGTACTATGAAATTCCTAGGATGCTTGAGCCCGAGCCAGCTGAACTGCCGCGTCCACGGCCTGTCGTCTCGACTTGTCCGATCGTTACGTAGCCCTTTGCTGTGCATCACATCTTGCACACTCAACTACAGATTCCCCAAGAAACAGACGAGAAAGAAAAGCTTGCAGCAGACACAGTCTGTATGTGTTTGCTTTGTATGTCGTGTGTGTGCGTGTGTGGGGAGCCTGGTCTTCGTGTTGTGGATATGGGCATCTGCAGGAACACCCAGCCACATGGCGCCGGAGGTGTTCGAGAGGCCCGGACAAAGAAGATGCGAACATGAGGTTAGCTGAGCGAAATGGGGTTTTGGCTTTCGGAAGGCTCAGGTGGCGTTGGCTAGCGCGAAGCAGAGTTTTCGCCCTTTCTCAGCATGAAACATTCAGCAGTCAGCTTGGACAACGTCGCCGTTACAGATGCAGTTTGATCGATTGACAACGCGTAAATCAGCCAGTAAGGTACAAGCAAAGTCGGGCATGGATCGCAGGTCCATGCTCGTTGCACTCCAAATCCATGCCAGGAGTCAAACCTCGGCCTCGTAAACATCCCCGCCCCAACACGAGGTACTACAACCACAAGTGCGACCTATGGAGCTGTGGCGTTCTGATGCCTCTCGGTGAAGGTCAGCGTTCGACATGACTTCGACTCCCGCAACTGTCTTCTAGATGTGGCATGTGGAGAGAAAAAGACCACTGGTCCTTACACTGGTCGCTTAGTCGAATCTCAAGGGTTCAAGGCTCCCGGTCCTCAAAAATGTGGCTTTGAACCTGGCTGCCGTCATTGTTCGCAACATGCTGCAGCAGTCCACAAGTTTTGGGGGGCGCGCTTTGATCCAAGGTATTACTTGACCTCAGGGGAACTGCCGTTCAAGAACGAGGAGGAGGTCAAGAAGGGCAGGCAGGGCTTGGCCAGCTGCTCCGTTCTCTGTAGCCTTGGAAGAAGTGAGACGCTGGGAACTTGGTCCGGGCTTGCAGCAAGGTCAAGGCACTGCTTATGCTGTAGCCAGACGTAGCAGTAAGACAGCATCAAGCCGTTCGAATTGAGCATCCGATTGTGAGGTACAAGATGACGAACCCTGTCTGGGATAGCCTGCATTCGACACCAAGCAGCATGGAGGGATGTTGCATGACGTCATCCAGGATGTGAGTAGGGAAGGGACACGCCCTTTGCGCAGTGCTTGGAAGCCGCATGTCGAAATACTATAGTATACTGTAGTATACTACGATATACTATAATATACT